CTTCGAGTGCTTCGTGTCCTCCGCCCCCTGAAGACGATTAAACGAGTGCCCAAACTAAAGGTGAAGTTGTCTGCGACTCCACCGTCGCAGTGACTGGGAATTGCGTTGTTACTAATTCCCCACTTTGATAATATCTTCGTTCTCCTAAAGAAATTTGGTCTCAATATGTGGTTTGCGTCAAATTTGTTTGTTGCACTAGGAAAAGGAGCTCACCTTTTTTTCTCCCTACTCTATGAGGATTCCTGGCCGGATGTCCTAAGTTGGTGATTGGGATCGAAATTCTTCTTGTAACTAAAATATTTACGATTCCACGGTCCCAAAAGTCCTTTCCATTTCATTCCATCAGCGTCATTGCAGATGGCTTTGGTCAGGCTAGATGCGTGTCAACTGGGGTCGTTATTTTATAAGAACGCTTCCTTTTTATTGCTATGGTAACGCAATTTTTGATCCACTTGTTTCATTACTTCAACCATTAAATTTAACATTTTATCATTTTAAGACCTTATTCGACATTTACATTCTGCCACAAGTTGCAACTCGAACTCGGTTGTATGAAATGACACTTATTCGCACTTTCTCGACTCCACCAACCTGGAGAAATCGCAGATTTTGTTTGCATTGAACCATTAAAGATTCCTTCTCTGCAAATTTCATGATGACGTCATTTCCGAATGATGAAACCTGTAGTCCATCAAATTCCAACATTTTATGCTTGAACAGGGAACACTTGAATGTCATTCTTTGAAATGTCTCAATGAGAGGCAGCATACTACTTCCGCATATTTGAGTAGTCCATGAGGTGCCCACATTTAAGGTACTCTTTTTTGAGCAAGTGTGGATGTAAACACTATCGTCTTGTGATGCGATGCAAATTTTCATTCTCTCATGTGCCTCTGTCTGCTAGACATCAATTCTGACAACAAGTGGTACAACTTACTACTGATGAAGCATTCTGAAAGGTTGTGCCCGTTCTTAATAGCTGTCGACGCATGTCAAGAATGCCCAACGTCTCCTTGGCTGGAAGTTCGTAACACCGCTGTTCAAAAGCCGAATTCCGGTTTTATGTCATTTTCTCTTCTTTAGGCCGTCTTTGATTGTGTTTTGAGCTCCCTTCGAAACGTTCTCAACATTCTCATTGTCTTCGTGCTCTTTCAATTCATTTTCGCCGTTATCGCCGTGCAACTGTTTCAGGGTAAATTCTTCTACTGCAACGACGCCTCAAAACTAACAAAGGAAGAATGCCAGTAAGCTGCATACAAGCATTCTGAGGTTGTTCAGATGTTGTTGTTTTCCTTCTTTATTGGTCCAGTCTACTAGTGACGCGATAAACTGAGATCGGATGATCTCACGGAATACCGATTACCTTTTAGGGGTCAATTTTTTGATTATAACGCGGATGGTATTCCCACCACGGTTTGGCGAGAATGGAAGGCCCATGGATTCAACTACGATAATGTCTACTATGCGATGCTGACACTCTTCACTGTAACCACTGGTGAGGGTTGGCCTGGGTATGTGGAAAAGCCGTTTCACAATTTAAGACATTGTGTGCTGCTTGTAAGCATTAAAAAAGGTTCAATATTTTCACGAAAGTTTAAAAAAAATAGGTTAGTCTTATTTATATGCTGTTGAATTGGATGTATGTTATTGAATTGTAGGGTTCTGAAGAACTCCATGGATGCGACCCATGTAAATAGGGGACCTCTGGAGGACTACCAACAGCAGGTGGCTATCTTCTACATAACATTCTTTGTTGTGTTTCCCTTCTTCTTCGTTAATATTTTCGTCGCGTTGATCATCATCACCTTCCAAAAGCAGGGTGAAAATGAGCTGATTGATCTAGAGTTGGACAAAAATCAGGTAAACAAACTTCCTTTTTTGCAGAATACGTTATAATGCACTAAAAATAACTTGCGAACGTCAACCCGTGAGGACGGTTTCCACACTAGCAAGTTGGCCAGTTGGATCGAAATAAAAGTTATGGTACTTGAAGAGGCAATGCGCTGTGTTAGCTCACTTGACACTGAATTTAGAGACTCCTTGTGCTTCTTGTTGGCCATTTTGGCTCCCCATTTTCAATTTTGTACTAAACCCCAAGTTACAATCCAATTGACTGTTTAATTCCAATGGAAACAGTGGAGTAGGCTAGATGAACTAATGGGCGGATTTTGTGGGATTGTGATTTACCTCCATCACAGGGCCTCATTTATTTCCTCATAAGTGAATATCCTTGGAGTCAAACAATCCGCCATTACTAGCTACGACTGTACAATTATGCTTTAGCTTACTTAAGGAAACTGATTTCGCCTTCCTGGAGAAATACTGCACCAACTGCAGAATAAGGGAAATACCAATTTTGCCAGGCAATTCAACAGACATTCTTAGATTAATTAGAGCTCACGAGAAGTTAGTAAATCACACATTGTGCTAAGAGTGGAGTTGCGGTCCCACCTCATCACATATCTTTATCACCGTTACTTTTGGTGGCGCACATCACAGAAGCGCTGCGTGGACTTTGCTATCAATGCTCATCCTTTGTGTCGCTACATGCCGAAGAACAAACGCTCATGGAAGTACCGCATTTGGCGTCTGGTTGTGTCGACACCTTTCGAGTACTACATAATGGTGATGATCGCGTTGAACACGCTGATTCTCATGATGAAGGTAAGTTATAATTCGTTTACTCAATGCTCTCCAAAGAGGACGTCAGTTTACTTGGATACACTCTTTCCTTCCAACTTCATTGCCATTCCTATTCCCGACGCGGTAACATCTACATCCTCATTTCAAACAACAACGTCAGGCTCACCAAAACTACCATACACAGCTTATTAATGCCAATTTGAAATTTGTGTTTAAGGATTTGGTTTTTTTGTCTGCCTCCTTTTCCCACCAGTATCATCGACAGGAGAGGAGACCTTCCGTTGCCACGAACATTGACACGGCTCAGCAAAACTACCACAACTATTGCAACACCCTAATATTTCTAAATTCTGCCTTTACAATCATGTTCTCCGTGGAGTGCGTCCTCAAAATCATGGCGTTCGGACCGAAGGTGAGCAAACTTAGTGACCCGCACAAATAATGACTCATCGCCACTTTGACCGTCTAATCTTAATTAACTTTTTCTACCTTCATTCGCCTTGATTCTATTTTAAAAGAGCTTTCATCTTGCTTAAGCCATGAAGTAACATTTCGTTTCTAATAATGCCAAAAGGAAGAACAAGTCGAATCCACTGAATGCTTCCCTGCTCGTACTCCACTTTTATTACGTTTGAATTAAAGTTTTGCAAGATGTGAATCCTGAGTGCTTCTGCGTTTGTTTCCATTACCAAGCGCATAAATTAAAAGGGATGGAAAGTGAGCCTTCGTCCGGAATTTATGGTCGAATCCCAGTGGAGTTTGAGGTCTTTTATGGGATGCTTACGCGCTCTGAGTTATCGGTGCTTCAATTTGTCTCAGCGGCTTGAAACCACTTCGTGAAGAAACATTCAATAAGCTTATGCATAAATGACTGCTTAAGCACTTCACTTTGTCGTTTTAGTCTCAAATTAAGTCAGATTTACTGTTGTTGAGGCATTAAGCCTAATTCAATCTTCGCAAATAAACCCAAACTTTTGCATGTAATGCAAGTAAAAATCACCAGCATAATTTAATTTTCGAGCAAAATCTGGCAGGACCGCTTGATGTAAGTTTTTCAGCGCAAATTTATGATGCTGTTTACTTTGGGATGAAGAATTAGCACATAGAGTCGCTTTCACTTTCCTTCAGAAAGATTTTAACAAGCCTAACAACTTTCTGCCAACGTTGAAGTTGTTGTTTCTTAGTTATGCATCCTGCGGGAATTAAGGCTTCAAAGATGCCTGAGTGGATATTTATTTTGCTAGAATTACTTTCGGGACCGATGGAACATTTTCGACTTCATCACGGTGATAGGCAGTATCACGGACGTTCTGGTTTCTGAATTGCAGGTGAGTTTAGCCTACGATTTGCCTTGAGAAGTGCTTCCACGACCCAAGCCATCCATTCACCTTCTCTAGCAATCAGCTTTCCTGAGTCTGGGTTTCCTGCGCCTCTTTCGGGCAGCGCGCCTAATCAAGCTCCTTCGACAGGGCTACACGGTGCGCATCCTCTTATGGACGTTCATCCAGTCGGTGAAAGCACTGCCTTATGTTTGCCTCCTCATTGTTATTCTTTTCTTCATCTACTGCATCATTGGCATGCAGGTGAGTAAATTGACCTGTCATGCATGATCCCAATTTTCGGCCTCCTTAACTGAAAAAAGATCCGCCTTCTTACACCTTTAAGGTCTTTGGAAACATTAAAAATGATCCAATGACGCAAATGAATAACCACAACAATTTTCAAACCTTTGGAAGTGGTATTCTGCTTCTCTTCAGGTGAGCCAATCCGATTGCGCACTATGTCGACTTACACGTAGTAGAAAATGGTGTAAAGTATTCTTATCGAAGCCTTTTAAAAAGCCCACTTTTGGAGCTAAGGGCTACCACATTGTGACTATGATGATAGTGGTTTTCGTTAGCTTTAAATAATTAAGGCGTACTTATTATCTGCATCGGCGACCACGTTATTTGTGCTCGTGCTGATCTTCCGCCCCCGTTACGATGAGTGGGGAGTTCTCGCTTGGAAGTCGCAGTCCTATCACTTACTGATCCCTCCAAATGCCAATGAATACGTTTTTTTACCTATAAATGACATTTACACTCATTTACATGAAGTTAAGTGTGTAACTACTTCCTGAGTTACTTTAAACGTTAAAATAGATTTGTGGAAGAACGAAATGAGTAATCATTTATTGCTCGTTATTACATTGACCAGATATGCAGATTATTCGAAGGCAACCGGGAGAGTGACTTGCATTTTCGCATTTTTAATTATAGGATTGGGTAAGTGAATGGAAATTCAAGACTCATTGTGCCCCAATGACTGCTTATTTAAAAATGAAGAGCTTAGTTGGCATGTTCAGAAGGTGTGCCTTTCAAGATGGTATTTGTTGACAAATTGGACGCAGCATAATTACGCAACAAACAATGGCCCATTATGTTTGCTGACCTCAGCAGGGGAGGTGGGATTGGAATGACTTCCCTGATTTTGTGTAAACTCAGGATGTTCTTAGGCGAAAACATAATTGCAAATTCACTCAGCCTTGGGGGTTTGTCAGAGGTCTTGAAAAGCACTTTCCCAGCTACACGCTTTTGTCATCGACGTACAATTGTTCATCTGCTTCGACAACTTATTCATGGACGGTAAAAAGATATTACTAAAGACACGGGTAATGCTAAGGCAGTGATTTTTGCTTTCGGCTGATGTTTGGCAGGTGCGCGACTGGCGAAAATTGGCAGGAGGTGATGCTGGACTGCGACGCAGGTCGGGAGTGCGAGGGCTCGGGTACATCGTGCGGCAGCAAGACAACCTACCTCTACTTCGTTACTTTTATCTTCCTCTCAGCCTTTCTCATGCTAAACCTGTTTGTGGCCGTTATCATGGACAACTTCGACTACCTCACTCGCGACTCCTCTATCCTCGGGCCTCATCACCTGGATGAGTATGTGCGCGTCTGGGCTGAGTATGATCCCACTGCTCGGTGAGTCGCTCACTTTTGGCTGTTGGTGCAAGCACTCATCAAGTTAGAGGCGTAGTATTCTTGTAGCATCCGCCTTTTGAAAGAATGCCTACCTACAATGAAGGTACCAGAAGCATGAAAAACTCAAATACTTCTCGTATTTGAATGCAAGGTTCAATAAGAGTTCATGATTTTACCCTTAACTGGAGATATGTTCAAATGACCTAGACCATCAATCAAGATTCCTCCTTTCAAATAAAGTGACATTTAATTGGTCACTGTCAATTCAGAGGGTATCGTTGACATTCAAATTCTTCACTAGGCATAAATTAGCAAAAATTTAATCTCTATCTCCAAGTTATGCACCTGGACATGCATTGGTAGTGCGAGTGAGTGAAGGGTAAATTGGTGATGTAGCAAGATCAGTAGAATAATTTTTATTTTGCCATTGAATTTCTATCAAACGAAGTAGTTCAATCTTCAATATTTCAGCGGTCGCATACATCATACCGATATGTACGAGATGTTGCGAAATATGGAACCGCCTGTTGGTTTTGGAAAGAAGTGTCCCTACAGACTAGCCTACAGGGCAAGTGCTTTGCATGTATTTCCTGAACTGTTATTTCAATTGGCGGCTACTTTTACCACACTTTCTCTCCTCCTGTTTACAGAAACTCATCCGGATGAATATGCCCGTCGATGACAACGGAACGGTTCACTTTACAACCACCCTTTTTGCGTTGATTCGCGAGTCACTGAGCATTAAAATGGGACCAGCAGAGGTTATGGATCAACGCGACAACGAACTGCGCTATAGCCTGCTCAAACTCTGGCCCGTGCAAGCCAAACGCATGATGAACATTCTTGTCCCACCAGACTCAGGTGAGCCTACTTAAGTTCCTTATAAGTAGACACCACTTTTATTTAGAGTAAATGTAACTTTTTTCAATAAGAATCATATTTTTGAGGGGCTAATTGAAAGAACTCGGTTTATCTAATTGCGAGAAAGATATAGGGTTACTTTTCGAAAACTTTTGTAACAATCATCTGTTTGCTTTCAATTTCTCGGCATGTTTCATTCGACTGAATCTCTTCAATCCATGAGCTTTGCCTGGATGGCAGAACGTGTAGCAACTTTTGAATAGTGCAGCTTTTTCACTAGACTGTTGACTTCTTAAGGCGTGATTGACTTCCAAAGGGAGTTGTCTGCTTGAACACATTAGGATATTGGCCTTCACATCTTTAACTTGGAGACGATTTAGCGGGCTTTCATTACTTGTTTTTCATAAGCAATTTCTAGTCTACTTATAAGGTAGTAAGTAGAATGATTAAACTGTTTTATGGTTGATAGAGCTTGTCTACCACAAGATGACAGTCGGAAAGATTTATGCGGGTCTGCTGATTCTCGAAAATTATCGACTCTCCAAACATCCTCAAGGCAAAGACCAGTCGGTGAGTCGTTTTTGTGATTAGTGAATTTGGTTCGAATGTAAAAATTATTCGCTGTAATTGGATAATTTTACATCCGAAAATAATTACGCTTCTGAAATAATTGCTCATCGATTTGCAACCGGTTGGCGCAAACAAGCCGCTGCTGTCTAAGGAAGGGTTATTGAGTAATTTATTGTAGTCGTGCAAATATTTGAAAGGTCTAAAGCATTGAAAAATTTGACATCATTACAGCTGTCACCAGTGAGCAGTTCATCCTCAAGTGGATCGAAGGTAGTCTGCCTCTGTCTGGCAATACTTGCTACCTTATCAACTACTAATACTGCTACTACTACTACTACTACTATCACTACTACTGACATTACTGGCGCTACTGCCATCGCTGCTACTACTTATATTGAAACTGTTTGTGCATTTGGGCATGCGATATTCCTCATTCTTACTTATTCCCTTGATCACTGTTTTACTTGCCAGTCTGGTGTACATTTGCATGCATACTTTACAGACTTACCATATTTTACCATTACTAATCTTATTCGTGTGGTTGTATGTGTCTAGTATGTCTGTTCACATCTCACCTTTTTGCACACACGCGTACAGGCTCCGGACTCGCTGACAAAGACATCTACTAATCCACCAAGGACACACCTTCTTGCAAAGCTGCAGGTTGGGTGAATAGTGTAATCGACGCTAAAAAAATAGCAGAAGAGACCTCTTAGACGTCTAGTCCAACCTGTGCGTGTTTGTGTTTCAGTTGCTGTGTCCGTACGTGCTTCCGTCACTTAGCGGTTATCGCCTCCGATTTGTCGATTCAGTATCCTAGACAGCGCATGTCCCACTCCCTGGCGGTCGGAGTTTCTCCTTATTCCACCTGACTCTCCTTTCAGCGTTTAATTGTCTTTTGTACCTTCTACCGACTAGAAATCGGCTGATCTTCTTGCTCGGTTTTTCGGCGCTGTCACCCACAATGTGCATCGGTCAGCTAGGAATTCGGAGACCGAGGACGACTCTCTCCAGTAAGTTGATTGGGAATGAATCGCTTCTTACCTATAGTGGGTAGGGATATGAAAGTGGCGTTTTTATTTTTCAGTACTGGAAGTCGTTGGAAATCGCCAGCGAAGGCCATTAACAAACGCCCTACGAAGGTACTGTCATCCATATTCACCTACATGGAAATAATCTCCCTCCTCCTTGGATAACCACCACTTTTTTTATAAAGAGATGTCCATAGCTTCATAAGCTTAGGTACTTCCAAAATGCTTTTGGAGAAAACTTTGAAACTGGCTATAACTTTTAGCCTTTTTCACGTCAAAGGTTCTGAGTGTGCTTCAATTGTTGACGAAAGCCGCTTACGTTGAACAAAATTTTTGCTGGATTTGATTGTTACCAAGGTTAGCAAATATGGCTACTTACGAACCCATTCAACCATTCTTTGCACTTCCAAACTATTTCTCCGAATGTATGGTGAGGCGATTTTTGTGAATTTTTGATCGTGCTAAGCTATTCCGGTGAGGTGTTTTTATTTTTCGTGGTAATTGTACATGTGATCCACAACTCGCCAAACCTAAGTAATGTTTGCATTCCTATCGAATTAGTTTTGCTGAAAATCTACAAACTGCCTTCCCACTGGGCTTAAAACTCGTCCAGCCAATGTGCCAACCTTTGCTGCTGTCCTATCAGTTCCTCCTAGGCACAATCATTTTCGCATGGATATGCTGCCATTTATGGTGTTCAAAAGTTCTGATTTAAACATGTGACAAGCGAAAAAAACAAATTTAAGACTTTTATGGGTCAATTTGAAAACGATGGTTCTTTTTATGTTTCTGTTTTGAAGTAAACATTAGTAGTTGGAAGGCATTCTGGCGTTTGGCATAAAAGCAGCAAAGGTAGGGCCTAGTGCTAAAACCAGGGCCGCTTGTGGAAAAAGGGTACTCTTAAATGCGTTCTTAAGTTGAGTAGTATTCCATTCATTTTGAAGCAGGAGGTTATGACTCCACAGATTGAGCAACGAGAAGCTAGTCCAACGCTTGGCGTTACTGTGAACAAGGTGCAAGTAAGAATGCGACTGAATCGACGGGGTCCAACTGCCTGACATTTCGATAAATTTAAAGCCCTTTAACGTAGCCTAGCACGCTTATTTATGGTCGTTTCAGCTTAAAAGTTTATTAATCCACTGCATAATTGTAAGCTCGGATCTGCAAGATCGTAAAGGCAAGGGTACCTTATGAAACCTTAAAGTATGAGACTTCTTGGCTTAACTGTAGAATCCTCCTACGAACAATACACAGAGCCCACACCCACAGCAGCTTCTGAAAGCGGATGCAGCGCCACATCAAGCAGCAGCTAAAGCAGCATCAGAGGTGGAAAGAGCACTATCTCGAAGCAGCGACCTTTCCTTCATCGAAGAGGAGGAGGAAGTGGTAGCCACGACATCAGTGGTGCAGGAGCCACTGGAACCTATACGCAGCGTACCGAGTTGTCGCCTCGCGAGTCGTCCTATAGCCACTTATCCGCCCGATGCTGAAGCCTGGCAGCGTGATGATATTAACGCATGCGAACGAGAGGTGGCGGCACGGCCACGGTTTCACATGCTGGAACCTCATCAGCACTACCAGTATCACCGAGGTCGCTACCTTTCCGCTCCTTACCACAATATGATCACCTCAGGTGAGAAACGGCCTCATGACATGTCCGAAAACATCTCTCTTGATGTGCAAAAGACTCATTCATCAGGGAATGGTGATGCAAGGAGCCCAATTCAACCGCCTGCTCCCAAACGCTTAATCCTCTCGGACTTCGGCAGACTGGACGATTTCAAAAGTGGGGGTAGGTGAAATTCTCACTATTATTTCAACCACTTCCATATTCATCAGCATTTTTTCGACATCTCTAGTTTCCTTAACTCAAGCCCAAGGTGCAGTTCTGCGTTCATATCAGCGTTTTTCGCCCGCATGGCATTCGAAACCTGTAGGATGCTACCCAGTGTCTCGTATCTCTAACCTCGACAACCCAGCTCGATGCTTCTACTCGCCGCGACGATTGAATGGTCGCTTCCTTAGTACTACCCCCGCAGCCGCATGTCGCACAACCTGTGAGGATGCCGTGGGGGAGTATGGGACATCCGAATATTCCTCCGAATATGCCAACGCCCCTCACATTGGTGTTGCAAAACCACCATTTTCGCTAATGTCCCCACTGAAGGATCCACAGAAGTACCGCCCAAGCGTTCTTCACAGCGAAAATACCACTTTGGCTGATAGAAGACCCCTATACATAAACTTCCCCAGGCTTGAACGCTCTCCTACTGGCTCAACGGAGATTGATGCTGGTTTAATGGAGGAGGACTTGGCAAATCGGGAGAAATCGTCAGCCCTGCCTCAGACTTCCGTTCTGCGACCGACGATGTCGCCACCTTTTCATGAACCAGTGGTTCAGATGGATCGGGGAGGAAGTCTGTTGAACGTCTTCACCCTACCACCTCCGCCCTTGCCACCTCAGCGGTTGGTGAACAGGTCGCTGGACTCCATCCCCCTTCGAACGAGAGCCACTAACCAACCCCAGCCCCTGACTCATCACCAGCAGTTGGTTGTGGAAATTAATAGGCCCACCTTCTACAGCCCTCACCACTTTCAACAACAACAACAACAACAACAACACCAGCATGGTGACCACCCCCACCACCACCACTATTACTACCATTACCACCTGTCTTAGGGGCTTCCGTGGGTGCGAGGGTCGGTGAATACACATGTAATTGCTTAATTACGCACTCTTCCCCTCAATCGCCCTACCTCCCCTATTTTTTTCTGTTATGGCTCAGCGCTTATGAGTAGCCATGGCTTTTGTTGGACCAAACATCCGTGATACAATGCACTAGCACCGCTTTTGCTTTGTGCCCTCCCCTTTCTTTTGGTCTGCATGGATCATCAATCAAGGTTTCTTAGCCTTCGCTAGGGTTGATATTGGCAGTCTTAGTGTAAAGGAAGACGACAGAAGTGTCCCGTTCTGTCGCATACTAGCTATTGCTGGTAATAGTTGGCAAATGTAGCTGTGCTGACGGTTCACATTATTAGTTTAATTAGAATCGGTGGGCTCATTTGTGTCTGGAATCTACATCTACCGCAAAGCTGCTGCGGCTTAGGTGCTCGATCTTCTAATAAAGGGTGGAGTTTTTCACGTTAATAGGCCGCTACCTGGTTCTCGTTACTGAGGCAATGTCATTTTAGAGGTCGGCCAACAATGTAGCACTTTTTCCCCTTCGATTACGAAGGGCAGCTGCACTAAGTGTATGGAAAATAGATGGGTTTTGATGTACACCACAATGAACTTGTATTGCCAAAAGGGTACATGTACTGGTAGATTGGTCCAATTGAATCGGAGTACCAGATATTGTGATGAAGCTGCAACATTGACGCAAATCCTCACTGTGTGGTATAAAAAACGATTAGAAGTAAATAAGGTTTGAATAAACCTTTATGGTTTTTTAAAAAAAACACATGATAATGAAGCTGTCCCATTACTTTAGTAGCCCCGATTCTTAAATTCCTATAAACTATTGGAGAACCGACTAAAACAATATGCTCATCGAACTGTTTTGGAAAGTGTTGGCAGTTTCTTAAAATCTTTTGAATTATACAATTGATGCACTAAATCGACCTTTTTTTCTTTAGCTTCGAAATAATAATACGGGTTACAACCACGAATTGAAATTGAAAATAAGAGGTAATCGGACGATCGTCATAACCCACATAAATATAAGGCTGAATGGTTATTAAGTATTAAATACCTAAGTCCACAAATTTAAAATACGTTAGAAAACAATAAC